CCCAGGGGAATGTTCTGAGTATATACGGGTACATTTTCTGTTTCACAGCACAGAACACTACAGCAGAATACATTTATTTGTATAGCACTTATCTAAACAGGGTTACAAAGTGCATGAAAACAAGACAACTATAACAATACAAAAAAACGTTGAGCTGAGAAAAATAGTGTGTACTGAGGCGAAAATGGAACAAAGGGAAATAAAACACAAAAATTACAAATCAGAAGTAAAAGTCAGGCATCACAAGGAAAATCTTTCTTTTGAAAATATGTTTCAAGTAATGATTTAAGAACAGGTAATGTGCTGGTCAGTCTGATCTCCTCGGGGCCTTGATGGCAAAAGCCTGGTCACCTTTAGTTACCAACCTCGATCGAAGGAGGAGTAGCGAGGGTAGGTTTGAAGATCTCAGGTTCATGACTTGGAGCATACGTAGTCAGAAGCTCAGCTATATAACTGGGGCTACACCATTAAAAGTTATTAAAAGATTTGGTACAATAAACAAAGTGTGGGTCCACAAGATCAGGCTCCCATCCATTGTCTGTGGAGCAGCTCCAGACTTTATACCCTATGACATCACACATTTGAGACTGACTCCTCTGGTGTCTGGCTTTGAGAGATTAACTCATGTTCACAAATATTGACTGAACTTTTGGCAATACCACAGTCTAAGTTTACTCTGTCAAAAGTAAAAGAGCTGCATTCAAACTCATTGGTAATAGTACATGAGTATTAGCATCAAAATATAGTTAGAGTACCAAAAGTAAAGGCGCTCTTTATACAGAATGTCCCATTTCAGAGTATTATCATTATATTACTGGATTTTTATCAATGATGCAGTAGCGTGAAAGCATTGCTGTTGTTGCAGATGGTAAAGGTGGGACTGAAGGGGTGTCGGTGGCTTAGTGGTAGAGCAGGCACCCCATGTACAAGGCTGTTGCGGCAGCGGCCCAGGTTTGAGTCCAGCCTGTGGCCCTTTGCTGCATGTCATCCCCCTCTCTCTCCCCCTTTCACACTTAGCTGTCCTGTCCATTAAAGGCAAAAATGCCCAAAAACATATTAAAAAAAAAAGGGGTGGGACTGAAATAATCCATACTAATACATTATAATTGATTAGTTGAAGTGATGTGGGTGACACAGTGATGCAGTGGTTAGCATTGTGGCCTCCCACAGTCCAAAGACATGCAGGTTAACTGGTGACTCTAAATTGTCCGTAGGTGTGAATGTGAGTGTGAATGGTTGTCTGTCTCTATGTGTCAGCCCTGTGATAGTCTGGTGACCTGTCCAGGGTGTACCCCGCCTCTTGGCCAATGTCAGCTGGGGTAGGATCCAGTCTCCCCATGACCCCCGAAATGATTGAATGAATGAATGAATGAATGAATGAATAAATGAATAATGTGAATCTGCCCGGTAACAAGTACCACAAGTTGTCAAATAAATGTAGTACAGCAAAACATGCAATATTTCCATCTGAAATGTAGTAGAGTAGAAGTATGAAATAGCACGAAGTGGAAATACCTCAAAATTGTACTCCAAGTTCATTAATTGAGTAAATGTATTTAGTTACATTCCACCTCTGTAACTGGCTGTGTAGTCGTGTGGAGTGTTCACCACTGTGCTTTTAGTGGAAAATGATTTAATACTAAGCAGTAGAGATATGGGACACACACTGGAATGTAGAAAATGTGTCATTCCACTGCATGGACTTTAACTTTTAATTTTGGACATTTTTCAAAATGTGTGATTGTTTCTGTGTGACTGGCTGTTTTGTTGTGTGTGTTTATCTCTGGTCTTATTTCTTCTGCTGTGCTCAAGTCTCTCTTGTAAAAGAGATCTTGAGATTACCTGATTAAATAAAGGTTACAATAAAACGAGATGTTGCAGTTAGCCTTTAACGCTGTGGCACTTCATGTCTTGCAGGAGATATTTCGTGGATATGAAAGCCTTGAAGGAGCACTTCAAAAGCAAAGTGCACAAAAAACGGTAAGGCATCACACCCAATTTCAGTCCTTTATAAATGTACAGTGGTTCAGTATTCCTGCAAGCTTCGGAGCTCTCCTCTTTTCTTTCAACATCCAGGTTGAAACAGCTCAGAGAAGAGCCCTACACCCAGGCAGAGGCAGAGAGAGCAGCAGGTATGGGCTCCTACATCCCTCCAAAAATAGTTGAAGTGAAGACACAGACTGTGGAAGAGGACATGAACTGAGAGCAGCCCACACTAACCCATGGACTGATGCATTTACAAACTGGATAATGCTTCTATTATCCTTTACTGTCACAAATGTTGAGCACATTGTGAAACGCTTTTTTGTGGCACACTTCATTTGTCTGACCCTTTACTGGCTGGCTATCAGCAGAAAAAGGAAAGCCTTACTTTTACTGGGTAACGTGATGCAACATGTACCTATGTAAATATTGAGTATGTGCAGAGCTGAGTGGAATGTTAATAAACTTTAACATGTTGTTGCTTTAGATTGCAGATTGCTGTCATTTGGGGCTACACAGTGTGCTTAAAGCAGTGTTTCCCAGCATGAGGGTTGTGGTGTTGTTTTTATGTTTTTAAATGAAATAATCTAAGAAAGAAGAAACACCTTTTGGTTGAACTGCACACATGGTCATAACTTGAAATGATGGGTTACACATAAATTAAAATTTCCATGGGTCACAGCAATCCAAAAAGGTTGGGGCCAACAGGGTTAAAGAGACTGCTTTAGTTGGACGCCCTGGATCCATGTTCCCAATGTAAGAAACATCCAATTTATGCAGATATTGATTCAGAGGTTTCTCTGGCATTAGTCTAACACCCATACCAGATCAGCAGGGAAGCTTCAATGCACATCAGCTCCCTTTGTTTCTTCCCATATCTCCTCTCTATGCAGAATAAAATGATTTTTAAAAAGTATGTATGAAATGAATTTATTGTTACTATATGATTATAACATGGCCCCATGTTGAAACACATAAATTCTAAAGGGTGGTCCAGAACAAACAAAGACCTTCGCTTCCTCTGGAGGACATGAAGCTACAAAATGTAATAACAGTGAGCTTTGGCAGAGAAACCTGTAATTGAAGCTTGTTAGCAGACATTCCTGGGGAGAACAAGGCAGCACTGCCCCTTTAAGTGTGGCTACTGTGCCAACGCAGAACTTCCGCAAAGTTAGAGAGGCTGTAAATTAAACTTCCGGTTATCACTTTCAAAATAAAGCACTCGGCGATATCGTCATCTGTAGTCCATGATTGGGTTAGAGAGTATACCCTGAAAAGGGGAATGTCATTAGGTTATTTTTGCCTCTTAGCGGATTATCTACAAAGGTATCTCCATGACTGCGCAAATGTCTTCTGTATGTCTGGGTAGATGTGGAATAACTTTTGGTCTAACTTTTTGCCTGGGCCAAAAATAAATCCAATATTTCTACAAAGCAGACTAAGGGACTGTTCATTACTTATGAGGGGGTGCATGTCAAATAATTTTTAAGCATTGGGGAGAGACTTGTTTTTTTTATTTTGTCTTACAGGGTGGCATACAACTCCAAATGGTTTTATTTTGTATATATTTCAAATACCCCCTAAACCCTAAATCCCACTAGCCGGTTTGAAAGGAATCTTTTCTTTAGAAATTGCCGAAATCACACCATTTACCACAGCTAGAAACTGAAAAAAAAGTAAATTATCATTGAATTTTTTAAAATTTATGACCGTCCTTTGGTCCATTCTAGAGAGAATTTGCATTTTACCTCAGAAATTAGCTGTTTGGGTGATAACTCTGACCAAAGATACTCTATAACAGATAATACCACATTACAAGCTCAGCCAGTGGTACAAAAGCTCGGGGCGCCTGACCAAGGCAGCCCCCCCCCCCCCGCGAAAAAGAGTGAAAAAATTGAATTTCCCCTCAGGGGGATTAATAATGTATATATATATATATATATATACTAAAAAAAATAATTAAAGGGTATTCACTTCCCGTCTCCTACATGGGCGTGATTGTCTCTCCGCTTTACCCCCACTTTGTGTGGAAGTGTAGTAAATTTAATGTAGATGGATGAAATCAGACTCAAAACAATACATCATTATATACAATACAAATTTAATGTTTGGTCCTTACTTTGCCAGTGGTTTGTATCTGCTAGCTTAATGTCTGATATCAACCAGGTGTCAGATCACGTCAGCTGTTGCCAGATCTTACAAAAGTATGTTGCTAAAACAGAGACATGTCTCTAACTAGTTAATTAGTTTTTTTTTTTTGCTTCATGTGCCATTGAGCAACTTTCATAGAAATGAAGAGGGACCAGCCGCCAATGACGTATCCATGTTTCTTTATACATCCTTGAAAGTGGATCTTTTCCATTTATCAACGATCTCTGTTCTGACTCCCTGCTTTTTGCTCATTGTGTTGGCTCCAATACTGCCTACATTTAGACTGAATATAAAAAATATAGTTATTTATGGTGGAGGGAGGGTTGTGCATTTCCCCCTAGTCACTCAGGGAGGCTCAAGGAAAAATATTTGTAATTTTGGGAGGTTCAACACACGAAAAATTTAATTATTTAATTAAGTTGCACTGTAGCAACCCCCTTCCTCTGACAAGTAAAGTACAGTCCCTTAATGTGGGTTCCTGCGAAGAAGAACTGAGGCAGAGCGGAGGGACACAACTGTGTGGAAACTTTGATTTTGACTGTTAATGTCGCCCCGACAAAAGTTTTTTCCTTCCGCAAAGAAAGTAGACACAGGTGAAATCACACAAAATACATTTAAATATTTAATAACCGGTGTATAACGGGTAAGACATTACATTTTGACTATTTCCCTATGATTTGTGCTGGAACCGTTATTAGACCGAATCACGTAGTAACGGACGGAGTGCTGAATCCGCACACAGCTAACGTTAGCTAACATTAAATGACGAGTGCTTTTACTTTGAGCCCCCAAACGCCCAATATCCGGTTTCAGTCTGGCTATTACTCGCTCACTTGACGCATTTTAACCACATCCATATGGTTCTCGATTAGGTGTGGGAAATAAGAAATCTGTGCTGCTAGCTAAAACATCCCACAGCTGTTGCCAGCGATCGTAACGGCCGGGAAAGACGCGCGGTCCCCGGCTACAGGAGAACCGAACCGTCGCTAGATTCTGAGCACTTTAAGGAGAAAGTTTACACTGAACGATTCCTGCTGGTTACCTTTTTCTGGACGCTATCGGACGAACATGTCCTAGTGTAAATAGCTGTGGTGGAGGTCGAGGATGGCCGCAGACGTGGATAAAACAACCCCTGAGGATAGGAGCGGAATTTCGCAGCAGAATGGGCACCGGGGTCCGAGCCGTGGATCCTGGATCTCCAGGGCGGTGTGGACTCTGCTTATAGTCGGTGCTGTCCCTCTTCTCGCCTTTGGGATCAAGTATTACCAAGATGCACAGCTCCTCAAACGTCATGTGAGATCCACATCTGTTTTAACCTTACTCATATTTCATAATTAAGCAGTGATCTTAACTTAGAGGTGATTTTAACTTGGGAACAACATGTGTTAGGTCAGAAAATTCCATTTATTTATTTTATCTGTGTTACTAGAAAGTTTGCACTGACCTTCTGCTTCATTTTATGACCTATGATTACTGTAGGCGCACTGTATTGTCATATTTCAACACTGTTCTCCCCACAAAGGCTGCTCAGAGTCATTGTCAGACGCCACACAACACCACATCTGCAGTTTTTCCACCCCATGGTGTTTTATTAGTGGGGCTGGATCTGTGTCACAGCTGGCAAAACTCAGCCTCCTGTGTAAATCCACTCATGTTTGGCAACACAGGGTCTCCAAGTTGTTCTTGTACTTCCCTCCCCCCCTGTCTCCCTCCATTGTACAGGCGCTAGTGGGCACGTCTGAGAGACACATGGTAGGAATCTGTGGGCTGATCTTTATCCAGACAGGACTGCAGAGGTTGAATGAATGCTGTGACACCAACAGAGATGAAATACTAATAGGCATATGAATGCATTTTATTGTAAGATGCATCTGCGGTATTAATTTAAGTCATTTTCCAGAGTGTTATGTGATGAGGGGGCTCACTGTCCTAGTTTTGATGCTGCATTCAAAACCCCTGAAGCATGTGAAATGACAATAAGGCTCAGTCTAACACATGCGCCTGTCCAATAGGAGGAGAGTGTCCGAACCCTGGGTGCCGAGGGGCTTTTTCTCTTCTCCTCCTTAGATGTCGACCATGACCTTTATCTCAGTCCGGAGGAGTTTAAACCAATTGTTGAGAAGCTCACAGGTACATCTTGTTATCTTTCTTGCTGAATGTGGCATTTCCTCCCTGGTCACACACACACCCTCACCTCACATCTGACTGTGACCCCTACGGCTTCCCTACAGGGATTACACCCCCTGTGGATTACGAGGAGGAGGTGGCTCATGACCCCAATGGCGAGGCTTTGACCTTGGAGGCCAAAATGCAGCCCCTGCAGCTCGACTCCATGACAAAAAGCAAGGATGGTTTCCTCGGGGTAAGGAAAGAGACCGAACTACTATTGATAGTAACCGCAGAAGAGCCTGTGTAAAGGATTTGAAATATATGCAAACATTCACTGTGATTTCTAAAAGATTTAAGTCATTACTTATATAAATATTCACTGCAGCAAGATGCTTGAGATAATTTGAATTCATGCTTTATTATTCACAAACTCTGCACTGAGCTGACTCAGACATTATTTCCATCTGAGTCAGTGCAGTTCATTCAGAATGTGTAAACAACCAATAATTGATTCAACAATGATTTAGCAGAGGATTGACTTGGTTCAGGCATTTTTAAAAGAAGCACATCCTCTCGATATGAAGACTATACTACAAGTAAGCTGATTTAATCTCTGGGTACCAGGTGTCTCACAGCTCTCTGAGTGGGCTACGCTCATGGAAGAGCCCAGCAGTGCCTTCTTCCTCCTTCTCTGCCAGCCAGTTCAGAGCCTTTTTGCCTCCCAAGAACAAAGTGGAAGTGGGAGACACGTGGTGGGTGATCCCTAGCGAGCTCAACATCTTCACTGGGTACCTGCCCAACAATCGTTACCACCCTCCGGCACCAAAGGGCAAAGAGGTACGCTAGAAAAAAACTCATCAATGATGCGTGTTAAGAGGCTTGTGATTATCAGACTGTTCATTGATTTCTGTTTTTATCCTGCTGCAGGTTCTCATCCACTCCTTGCTGAGCATGTTCCACCCGCGGCCCTTCATCAAATCACGTTTCGCTCCTCAGGGAGCTGTCGCCTGCATTCGTGCCAGCAATGACTTTTATTATGACATTGTGTTCAGGTGAGGAGCTGATCAGACAGAGACATTAAAGGAAGGCCACAGTGGTGCTCCTTCTTCTTCTTTTAGTCCATTAACCACAGAATTATGTATGCTTTACATTAGTGCTGCCTAATATCCAGAACATACTGTAAATTGTAATGCCCTCTCTGGCAGGCGGCCACTGGTTTCAATTTAAATTCAGCATTCAGAGCCCGAGTCCACTTCACTTTGTTGTCAGTGTTACATTATTATTGCAGGCTAATGCAGTTTAATACCTGTTTTAAACACTATCCGTCGTCGGAGTGGAAACACAAATTTAGGATTTCAGAGATGAGTTTGGAGATGTTTTCAAACAGTCCTCAATCACAGCCGCATTTCTATGTAACGGTAATGTAACATAAGCAAAGAGAAGGCTGTCTCAAGGTTAGAATAAATTGCTTTGAAAAATGGTCAGCAGTAATGTAAGGTATACAACATTTTTGATAAAGAGGCTTGTTTTTAGAAGGCTACACCAAACATTCCTGTCACTTATTGACAGAAGACATTTTTTACACGTCTTACGGTTCAAACTCAACTCCTTGTGCTTTTCACCTCTGCAGGATTCACGCAGAATTCCAGCTCAACGATGTCCCAGACTTTCCCTTCTGGTTCACCCCGGGGAAGTTCATCGGCAACATCATCATCTCTAAAGACGCATCTCATGTCCGACACTTTCACCTCTACGTCCCCAATGACAGGTAGATCCTTTAAACACACCGTCACCGTTGTGCTCCCATCATTATGTTGTAGTTCTAGTGTGATTATATGTCCTGTTGTGTGTCAGGTCTCTGAATGTGGACATGGAGTGGCTGTACGGGGCCAGTGAGAGCAGCAACATGGAGGTGGACATCGGATACCTGCCACAGGTACAGCTTTGACACTTCAGAAGGGACCTCTTTACTTATTTATATATTTCAGCACTTCCTGATTTAGTTTGAGGTCATTAAAGCAGTTTAAGGAAAAGTGGGTGTTATATGGGTGTCTTATTTCAGGATGTCTGTCTTTCTAAATGCTTCCTGTCACTGTTTTTGACTTACTGTTCTCACCACAGTGTGTCCTAAAGTTTGAGTGCTAGTAAGAGTATTAATTTTATATCCTTTTTCTTTTTGTTTTCAGTTATGAAACCTGTTAGGGAGCATCTATTGTAACTGCCATTTTCAATTTCTCTGTGTGTATTTCTCCTTGAAACTGATCAAATTTCACTGATGACTAGTTCACTTATTTAGATCACAAAATTACTCTCAAAGATTTTCCCCTGAAATAAATGTCACAGCTTAAGTATGTGACGTTTTTAAAAAAAATCATCTTGTATAAAAAGTTGTTAATGTGTCCACAGTTGGAGCTGCAGTCCAAGGGTCCGTCCACTCCATCCATCATCATGGATGTGGAAGGCAACGTCATCGACAGCCGAGATGGCGACGGCGAGCCGATCCATTTCGTCTTTGAGGACATCCACTGGACGTCAGAGATCAGCGAGCAAGAAGCCGCCCAACGCCTGGAGGTCACCCTCTACCCCTTCAAGAAGGTAACCATCCATGAAGCATTTTTTCAACACACTTTTGGCTCGAATGAAGTGGTTTCACAGCTGTTACATTGTTCTCATCGTTCTCTCTCCCAGGTGTCCTACCTGCCTTTTTCAGAAGCCTTTGAGCGAGCTGAAGCAGAGAACAAACTGGTGCATTCCATTCTGCTTTGGGGGGCGTTAGACGACCAGTCCTGCTGAGGTGAGATCATTAACATGTTGCTGGTTTCAGAGCAGTGTACACTGTCATTGAGATATGGGAAAAGATATAAAGGTGGAATATGTGATTCTGGAGAAAGATTGTTGTTATTTGAACTCAGCCTCCAAACAAATACACCCCTACTTGTCACTCCTGCCCTTCTCCTTACACATCCATGGCCTTTCCCCTGTCCTGTGACAGAGCCAGGGCTGTGTATGAACACCATTTATTTTTCAGTGCACACACAGAATGGACAGCTCGTGAACCCTGGAGAGATATTTGTTGAATCAGACTAAATGAAAGGCTAAATATGGGTTACATCCAAACAACATTGAAACAAATAGATCTGCACACAAACCTCCCATTACAAGGATTATAATGCTCTGTAACCTTTCAAGCAAATGGCTCTTCCTTGGACTTCTAATAAATGACAGACACAGAGAATTACATCCAAACAATGACATAAAAACAGGTTTATGAAAGACATCCAGAGTCTCAGGCTGAGCTTTCCCCATCTTGGAGCCTTTTGGGGAAAAACAGAGTTACTTTAGTCTTCAGTTAACAGAAAAAAAAACATCTTAATGTTACTTCTAAGCATCTCAAATCAATTCCATATCAGTTTTGTACGGGTGACGACGAGCTAAATCCTGGCTTATTATGTTTAGATTTGTGCAAAGACTTCAGAAGTGAGCAAAGATGCCTTAAAGCAAGACTATAAAACTTTTAAAAGAACATTCTGCCTTTTTCAAATAAAAAGATGAATTGATAAGCAATAAAACACACTTGTTTAGTTCAATACACTCAGCAGCTTCACGGCTGCAGCCTTATTAGGTCTGGTATGACCCGTAGCCTGTGGTGGCTCATGTCAAAGGACTTCCAGTAAATATAGATTGCTGTATAGCGCACATTACTGACCCACTCTGCTGGCATTATGACTCCTCTCCACTTGTGCTGCTGTTACATTAGTTCAGAGTTTTAGCAAAAATGTATGTTTCTGAACTTGATCAATATCTCTGTCTCCCCTTCATGCTTCTGTAGGTTCGGGGCGAACTCTCCGGGAGACAGTCCTGGAAAGTTCGCCCGTCCTGGCTCTGCTCAACCAGAGCTTCATCAGCAGCTGGTCTCTGGTCAGAGAGCTGGAGAACATGCAGGTGAGCAGTCAGGGCAGTGCTACACCCCAAGAAACTCAATCAGTAATCATAAAAAATGTGCTTTATGCTCCGTTTACGTTTATAAATCTTCTTCTTCTTAAACAGGCTGATGAGCAGAACCCTGTGTTGAGTGAAAAGGCCCGATTACACCTGGAGAAGTACAGCTTCCCTGTGGAGATGATGGTGGCACTGCCCAATGGAACTATTGTAAATATTCAACTCTTTCATCAGCCTGCACTTTATGGAATATTCAGGACTCAGTTATAAACACATAATGACTCCTGTTGATATCAGTATTAAAGGGGCAGTTTACCCTCAAATCAAAGATACATATTTGTGTTGGAGATCATTCTTTAGAGATGTCTGTCTTCTCTAAAATACAATGAAGCTAGATAGCACTCTGCTTGTGGTGCTCAACGCATCTAAAAATACATTTTTGAAACTTAACAGTGTTGTCTCTTTTCAGAAATACCAAACCGGTTACTCAAGAAATTCCAGATATCATGTTGTGAGCAGTTTGGTGTAGGAACCATTTGCTTTCTACCAGTCTACACCCACCAGCTGTATCACCACGCAGAAGGAAGCATGCATCTACTCATGGATGAGAGGCTCATGACAGCGCATGATGTAAACCTTAACATCTGCTGAGCTCAAATATTAGCAAGCTCAGTGGTGCTAGGTGAGCTAGCAGTAGACGCACGCTTCCTTCTGCGCAGCGATACAGTTGGCAGGTGTAGTTCGGTAGAAAGAAATAGTTCCTACATGAAACTGCTCACAACAAGGGGTGTGGATTATTTTGAGTAACCTGGTCATGATTTCTGTAAGGAGACATTGCTGTTGAGTTTTTCAAATGCCCTTTTGTGGGCACTTTAAGCACGGGAGGTGGTGTACACCTCTTTCAGGTCTTATTTTGTGTGTACGCAAAGTTCATAAATGAGACCCCAAGTCAGGTGTCAGCTAGTTCCATTTTATTAGAGAGAAGGCAGACATCTCTAAGACAGATATCTCCAACACTCTGCAACTCACACCAAAACAATCTAGATTGTTAAATAGTACCACAAGTAAGAGGTTGTCCCAAGTAGTCGTCCCACTCTCATAGCATGATATTTATTGGTGTTCATAGTCTTTCATTAAAAGAAGGAATGGCTTTTGGTTGATAGTTACATTTCCAAATCAACATCAGTATGGAAAAATTTCAGACTAAAAGCCTCATCTCCCTCATGTGTATGGCTTTAGGTCCACCACATCAACGCCAACTTCTTCCTGGACCAGACGTCCATGAAACCAGAGGAGGAAGGAGCGACGTTCAGCTTCTCCGGTGGGTTCGAGGACCCCTCCACATCCACTTACATCAACTTCCTCAAGGAGGGGTTGGAAAAAGCCAAGGAGTACCTAGCACAGTAATTAGTGTGTTTGTGCGATAGAGCCTGAGAGACTAAACACGAGGAAGTGATCATCATTCCTCTGGGTAATGATCCAAGATAAGGAAAAAAAAACCTCCAGCAATTATGTAGAGAAGATTCCTCATCAGTGTTGGCAGCTGAAAAACTTCTTTTTCCCTCTTTCTTACTATTTATTTGGGCATCTCTCCTGGTTAGAAAGTTTTATATACAGTATTTGTATTGTGACAAACAGTACAGGGAAATATTGCTTCTCAAACCTAATGTTACTGTTATATAGCATATTTTAATGAGATGCAAAGCGGCAACAGATACGTAAACACATTAGGATCTGCTCTCTCTCTGCTTGTCGCTGCTGTCATAACACAACGACCATACAACAACCTATACTTCTTTTATATTGTGGTGTCGCATGTGCAATATTAAATGACTGAGTGTGTTTTCCTGCTGCTGAGCGTACCCAGAGACAGGGCCCGTGCAGCTGTTGCCTTCAGCTGTGTTTCAGCAGTTTGTGAAGTCGTCGCCTGAAAGCTCTCTCCGGGCTGGGCAGCGCCTGATGTTATTGCTGAGGCTGCTGGAGGGAACACCCGTCTCTGACTCAGGGGACAAAGGCAGCAGGAAAAATCAAACTGGGCCGTGGCACATAAAATATTAATACAGCTGTTTTCTTGTACTTCTGAGTTTGCAACCAAATGTTGAATATTTTGCAGATGCTGGTTTTTTTGTTTCTGAGGAAGATGTGACCACACCAAAGAACATTGTTTTTAATACGTACAGGAGCTGGTTTGCAGCTAGAGGAGCTGTTGATGTTCATATTTATGTAACTCAATGGAACCAAATGGTCATATGCTTGATTCTTGAACTGAGCGGCACATGATACCGTGTCCTGTTGTTTTCCTCTTTTAGGCTCCAGGCTAAAGAATGTATTTGTTTGTGTCTTGAGGGGAAATCCTTGATATTTTAAGAGAAAAATGACAATCTGGACCTACTATTAGCTTATTTTCTTCAATATCTTCTAAAATCCTTGTCTCGTATGTTTTTACCGTAAAACAGAAGAACACAGGGATCAAGAAAACTAATGTCAAGCATTAACAGTGTAATCTGACAAATGAGAATAACATTAAAGGAGCTGTATACGACAGTCAGAGAGAATCTGTATGTAAGAGTCTCAATCAGGTTGTCTGCACACCTCTCGTAACATGGAGGTGGCTGAGCTGGCTAGCAGCTAACGGTGCTAAAAGCGCAAGCAGTGCTAACGATGGCAACAGTGCTGACAGAGCTAACATTGAGGCGAAAATGTATTTCCTAGGATAGAGAAAGCATAACCCGTCCTACTCTGCTTTAAAGCATGGATTTTCATTTGAGAAATTTGCACAGAAATTTATAAAAACTGATTTTGAGGGTTCTTATGAACGCTTGCACACCCTTGCGTAACATTTGTGCAGGGGAAAAATATTCGAACGGCCCTTGATTTCAGCCGATTTCGGAGGAAATACATGTTTGACCAATGAAAACCTTAGTTCCAACTGATGTCATACCTCCAGGTTGTAGCTAACTTGTTCACTTTGGTTTCTGCTTCAGCTGTGATATGACGAAGATGCTAACGTAGCTGATATACATTTGTTAACATATGTTGGTCACGGTCTCAAACAGAAGAACATGGCTAATTATTATGAAGAGTAATTTCATCGGACTAACTTACCAGGTGCTGGTCTGCCACTCTTATCAAACAATCCTTCATACCTGGTCGCCGTTACGTAGCATTCCATGCAGCAGTGATATTACGATGGTATTGAGGGCTTAATCGTGTAGGAAGAACAAGCTACTTATGTTTAGATCGGAGGGCTGATGTTTGGAGCAGCCAAATGGTGTAGTTGCAGGCCATTAATCTTTGTAACTGTAGGGAGGGTGTATTTTTCAGAGAAACTGGATTTTGGAGCAATGGTTGTTTGCTTTTGGGGTAACATTCTCTGTCTGGGTGGGTTTTTGTTGTGTGGAGTGCACACAGGCACTATTTAGGAGCAAAGTCATTTTTCTTTTCTTGAGGAAAATGGTATACAGCAACGCATTGTTTGCTGCTGTATTAATGCTCTGAATGTCGCATACAGCTCCTTTAACTGTGAAGGTCATACAGGGTCCACTCCATAAGAAACATCCGGCTGATTTGAGCCTTTAAGGGAAAACACTGTAACCTATCCGTGCCATTTTTTTCACAAATATGAAACAATAAAACCTTTTTTTGTACAATCTGAATGTGTCCTTTCTGCCAACATCCATCACACACAATCAATCATACAAACGTTTTTAGAGTTTAAATATTGTGCTGAATTTTATTAACTAACCTACGATACCGTACAACGTAAGCAAAGTAGATCTGGCTTTTAGAGTGAGAGCATGTTATTACAGATACAGTTGAATTGAGACAAAACTGCATGAATTCAAAGCTTTTTTCTGTCCCGTTCAGAAACCACAGTGGCGTATGAGTCAGCACTCGAAGTGAAAGGAGATCAGAATAGTCATGAATGAGAGTCTAAGATCCATTGCAAGTACAGATGTTCTTCATTTGAGAAGCTTTTCTCAAAAGTGTTCACACATGATTAGTTCCTGTAGTCATTTAACGCTGTCGATGACACTGACGATGATGACGATGCGGTGATGGGTGTCTGATGACTGGAGCTTGTATTCGTGGGACTTGAGGCTGTGTGTGTGCGTAGTTTGGTTTTCAACAGAGACATCTATTCATAGTGAGACTAATGTGTGTTTCAGACTTCCAGCATTGACTGTTATATGAGGGCAGGGACATGCATACCTATACAGACAGGTGTACCATCATGTTCACATGATAAATAATGAGATATCATGAAGTTACTGATTCACATTAAGAGCAAAGTGCAGTTTCTGAGACTTGTAACCAACTCCTTCAAAAACGAGGACTCAGAATCCAGTTCAGCTCGACTCAGTTCACAGTTTGGCCGCCAAACCCACAGGAACGACTCAACCATGAATCAGTCCACCATGAAACCCTCGCTCCAGGACATCGAACTGTTCAAGATCAGCCTTGTTGAGTTCAGTTCAGTTCAGTTCAGCACTTAATCACACGGATAAATCCAGCAGTTTGTGGTAGTTTTTTTTTAAAACATGGATGTTACCGATGAGTGGTCGTATTTGTCTTTGAATGCTCAGTGATAAATGCTGTCTTGATAAAGCCAATCAGCAGGGACAAGGAGAGTCAAAGAGAAACTCGGCGGACTCTTCAGCCGAATGTCCACACCTCCAGCTCCATCACCCGGAAGTCGTCGGTTTCCGAGAGGCAACAGTTGTTAAAAGTGTAGCAGGGGCTGCTGCGACCCAGGTACAGATTCTCGTCCACCCACAGACCGAAGTGACCGCTGCAGGAAAAGAGACAAACGGTAGGGAAGAAAGAGAAATTAGACATCTTGGACTGCCTCCAAGATGTGAAGTCTTGGATGGCATAAAGTCTCTTCAATTAAATGATAGTGGGACAGAAGTGGTCTTATTTGGTCCTTTTATTTCCATCAGGGATGTAGTAAACTACCTTGGGGCCAAACCTTAGTGCCAATGCCAGAAATCTTGGTGTCATCTTCGAGAAGAACCCTGTTGCTAGACTTCTAACAGGTACCCAGGAAACAGACCACATCACACCTGTACAGGCGTCTCTGCACTGGGTACCAGTCAGGTATAGGTCTGAGTTTAAGGTCCTACTGTTTGTTTTTAAGCCTTACATGGCCGGGAAGCCCAGTGCATCTCTAAGCTCCTCTGCCTCCTTTCCAATGCAAGATCTCTCAGATCCTCTGACCAGCTGCTCCTGGCTGTCTGCGATCGAGCGACTAAAGAGGAAGGGCAGTGGTACTCTTCGATCATACTCCTCTTTTCTTGCCTGAAAAAATCTATTAACCAACTCTGGAACGGTCTGCCCGAGGAAATCAGGTCGGCCGAGTCAGTAATCTCTTTTAAGTCCCTTCTTAAAACATACTTTTATCGGAGAGCCCTCATTGATTTTACTTGAGTTTTAATTTATTTTAAACTGTATATACCAAAGTGTCTTAATCAGTTTCTTTAAATGTAGGGTCTGGAGGATTTTCCAGTTGCTGTTTGTAAACACACATTCAAATTTGGCCCCTCCTATCAGGCTCAACTCTCCCAGGTGTAAGGAGCCCAGAGGTACAGAAGAAGGCTTCACAGAAGAGGTTCAGGCAAGGCTCGCACTGGTGCACGCTCGGACATGCTCGGGCACGGCACCTGCGCTCTCTCATTGGCTGGGGAAATCTTTGCCCAGAAGCAGTCCGAGCTCACAAAAACATCAAAATACAGTTAAAGGGCAGGAGCTCTGCAAACAGAGTCACCACCACACATGAGTAGAAGCCCATAGGTGATGATTAAGCAGGATTTCATTTGTATATATCTATATTTTGTTTTGTTTGAAAATCCTCCAGATCCTACCTTTAAAAGTTGTTGTTTTCATGTCTTTTCTGTTTTAATTATTGAAATGTAAAGCACTTTGTAACTCTGTTTACTCTGATTACTATTATTATTAGGGTCCAGGCAGCTAAGCTTCTAGAGTCATGGTAGATGATGTGTGGCAAATTCAGAATTTTATCTCAAAAACTGAATTTTTGACAGCATTTTGAATTTTGCTCTAATGTGAACAATTGGAGTCAATATAAAAATTGCAATTTTAAACATCAGTTTTTCACTTATGGAGCAAATCAATCATTGTTACAAACAAATTACCAACATCTCCATGCTGTCTAGATGCAATATGTGTATTTTCAGATTTTTGTTTCGATAACTGATTTTTTTACAGTGGTTTTAAATCTGCTTTTCCATGCATTGACTGCTGCTAAATCTGCACGTCTGGCTTAGTCATTTTGTGATTCTACATTTGAATTGTCACTGACTAATTAGCTCAGTGAGATAGAAATTAATCCTTAGTCTCAGAGGTTGTGAGTTCAAGCCTCAGCTGATGCTAAAGGCAGATTGTGTTGCTAAATTCATAAATGTCTTCCAATTCTTCTGCTTGTTTCTCAGAATTGCCTAAAAATGCCCGGACCCGACCCATTGCTGCGCAGCAGCTATAATTACTTTCGCGTTCCCCTTCTGTAGACACATTTATAGCTTAGCTGAAGACCCAAGTTTTTGAAGGCCTTTGATTGTCCTTAAGGTTTTCTCTTTTATATTTTATTTTCAGATATTATTGTTCCATGCTTTATTTTCTTTCTTGCTCACTTATTTGTGTGGGCTTATTATGGCATGGTTCTCTGGTTTTTATACATGCTTTATAATTAAACTTGATTTTATTTGAAATATGTATCCATTTCCTTCACATATGCTGAATAGATTCCAGATAAAATAGAGAGGAAGTGGTAAAAATGCATTCATTACCTGCCTCCACCAATGGCAAAGGAGTCCAAGTCTCCTTTAATAAAGAAGGAGTTCTCTCCAGTCCACCTGAAGCACTACGGAGAGAAGACTGAGTCAGTCACCGCAAGACTGTTTCTGTAACAACTCTTAAAACTTTTTTAGCACTAATCAGAAAGTGAATTGTGAAACATTAAAAATTTGTCTTGTGCAGCCATCAATACCCTGGTGATTTAATCAGATGTGATTTTATCAGGGGGATTTCTTCATGACTTTCTGAGGGATGGATCTGATGCTGTGCTCACACTACAAGCGACACAGCATCGGTATGACCAGCAGCATTATCGCTGAGTCACCGCTGAAGTGTTGTTCAAGTGCTCATTACCATAGTGTCTTGTGTGTGTCTGTTACTTGCCACAAAGCCCCTTTTGATCACAGTCTGAGTCCCGTTTTAACACCACATTACTCTGCCCCACATTACTCTATATAAAAATTCACCACCTGTACAGTTGTCATGAATGTTGAAGTTAGCTTATGAGACCAAAACTGTTGTTTGTAGCAGGCTGTAAACATGTTTATTTCTGCTGTTAAGTTGGGCATTTTAATATGGGTGTTTTGTTTTTGGAGCCAGCTCCAAGTGGCCATTCAAGGTACTGCAGTTTTTGGCACTTCGGCACTGGTGGTTGCTGCTTGATTTTGACCTTACACAAAAATGTATGTGTGATATTCCCTGTGTTCTTCAGCTATTTTACAATTTGGCGGAACAAAGAGAGCTACAGTAACACTCTGTAGAGAGGGCTGTTAGGTGGCTTTACCTTGAAGCGAGGATGCAACATGAAGAGGAAAGTTTCTCCTGTGCCATAGAACGTCTCACTGGGCCTCAGAGGGTGAGAGAGGAACGCCCCAAATACCTGATGAAAAAATAAAGAAGAGTAACAAAACATAGTTGAAAAGAATTAAAAGACATCACAACATCTATTATTGATATTAGAGAGAACGTACTGCGAATCTTACCTCATCAAGTGCGTCCTTGATGACGATAAGCACAGGCGAGTCTGTGGCACTGAGCTTTCTGTACAGGGACTTGAGGCTGGCGCCGTGACGAGACGTGCTGTAAGTCAGCTGCCAGCTGTGGCCAACTGTCCTCGGGGGGAGTTCCTTACATAGCTGAGAGAAGATTAAAGGAGGGGAGGAAAAGTTTAATTACCAAAGGTTAGGGAGGCAGGAGCATAAATATGAACAGAGCCAGATGCTGACATCTCAGTGTTTGCAGTAATCAGTGTACTCCTCTACTCTGGCTCTGAAGCAGGCTGCACCAGCTCTTTTGAATTTAAAAGAATACTTCAATACTTCATATAGGAAATCACAATTTTCAAAAATAACGTAACAAACAAATAATGTTTGTTAATTTGTATGAGACACTTACTTAATATCCTAAAATGTCTTTATTTCTCTGTTTATGCATAGATGATTAAATAAAAAAGTCAAATCTATATTTAACAAACTATTAGTAGTTAAGTTTAACACGTTGCAGTGACTCCCTGTTTACATATTTGTTTTACTTCTGACTGAAAGGCACTGTGGATGTTTCCTAGCAACCGATTCATACATTACTAAAGTCTCAAAGTCCAGCTGAAGTCACAATTACTCATTTCCTTTGCAGCCACAAATTCCTGTCAGTGTGATTGTTCAATTAACATTTTTTCATTGTTAAAAGTAAGAAAGCTGGTGAGCTGGTGAGACACAGACTTTTAGTGATGCATTAACAAAGAACTGGTGCATGAGTGTGTGAAGAGTGTGTGTGCGTCACCCACCTCTCTGACATGTGGAGCCTGTAAAATGTGGCTGCTCTCCACAATGTTGTTGAGTCCATCAGGATCCCTGTCGATGACCAGGGTCGGCTTGTCTACGTTCTCTTCCATCAACACCATCTGCAAGAGCGACACTGATAAGTTCAAAACAAAACAGGCCGGTTTGTTCAAAAACATCAAGAGGAATTCCTGCCCTCATGACATGTCACTCGGTCGTGACGCTCACCTTGAGGCGAGTGTGTTCACAAACAAACACACCTGTTCTTTCCCATTATTTGCACCAATGTCCAGCGAGATAAATCTCTCCTCTGAAAGTGAAACGCACACACACTCACCTCCCAGTCGTCCCCTGTGCTGCGGTGTCTCTGAAACACCTCCTCCTCCTCTTCCTCCTCCTCTTCCTCTTCTTCCTCTTTGTCCTCAATGAGTACAAACTCCTCTTCGTCACGGTCTGCCTCGCCCTCTTCCTCCCCTCCCTCAAGTATGCACAAGTCGGGTCGGCAGTGTGTAAGGTAGGCGTACAGCTCATCAGAGCTGCAGGGGGAAAAAACAAAAGCAGCCAGTCAGACAAATAACCCCGACAGCTGCGTCAACATGGTGAAAGAGACATGACAAGGAGGAGCTTCAGGATGTGACACGTGCTTTTATTTGCACTTGACCTTTATGTCCATGTGCTATCATATAAACGTGAAAATATAAACATGAGGCATCAAATTGGGTTCTGTTTGTAGAGGCAAAGGCACCCATTTAATCTCATTCTAGCCAACATGCAACCACCCATATGTCTAACCAGATACTTCTTCATATACCTGTTTGGAGATTCTCTTCACACACAACTGCACCTCCATCTACACCTCCAACTCCATTATTAAATTCGTGAACACCACAATAGCTGGCCTGATTTTAGAAGACGATGAAGCTGTCTGCAGGCTGGAGGTGGATCATCTGACTGAGTAATAAAAACAGGCCTTAATACTTTGAAAACAAAAGAGACGATCATAAACTTAAGATGGACTAAGGGCAGACGAAACCTCCCCCTCCACAAACATGGAGAGGTCACAGAAAGTGTATAAACCCTTAAGTTCCTTGGAGGCACCTCTTTAAAACAGCTGACATGAACCACCAAAACCTCACTGCTGGTTAAAAACAAGTCCCAACAAAGACCCCTCTTCCTCAGGATGCTGAAACAGGCCAAAATCCAACAGAAGCGGTTGCTAAACTTCTCCAGGAGCACAGTTAAAACCATCCTGACAAACTGCGCCACAGTGTGGTATCTCAGAGAAAAGCCCTGCACTGCGTGGTGAAGATGGCTCAGTGCATTGTCTGGATAGAGCTCCCATACCTGGACACCATCGACGCCACCAGGCTTGAAAAGAAGGCAAACAGCGCAATCATGAACAACACACACCTCGGCCACTCCCTGTTTGAACCGCTGCCGTCAACAGCTTTTACCCCAGGGCTGCAGCCCCCATCAATCATACCCCCCTCAACACACAAAGGGCTGTAACACACAAAACACACACAAACAAGACCAACAGTGTCCACACAAACACAAAGTTGTTTTCTCAATAGATGTAAAAGTACCAGTGTCGCAACTCAAATAGAAGTAGGGGGAAAACAATCACACGATGAAAATACTCCATTAAAAGAAGAGGTCCTCCAGCTAATTTTAACAATTTCACACTGTTGAGTGGTTTAATTCATAAACATGCACAATTTTTGTAAACTGATCACATGTTTTGGAGATAAGATCTTAATCGACAAAGTAACTAGTAACTGTAGCTGTGAGGTAAAACTAGGGGTGGGGGGAAACATAATATAGCACAGTATCGTGATATTTTTGTGTGGCAATATCGTATCGTCATAGTGCCAAGTATCGATTTTTTAATATATAAATTCTTAATATTACAATACAAACTTTAGGTACCCTACTAGAATAATATGATCGTTGCTGTTTCAATCGCATAGATACATATTGCTGCTGCAAAAGTCGACTGAAGTGAGATGAACAGACTGAAAACTTGATTTTATTAGATAAAACGGATGTTGGCAAAGTTTTCCTTTGGGAACATAATTTACAGTTGAAAAATGACAATTAATTGCGATATATTGCAATATATTTTACTGCAATACTCAGCATATCGCAGCATATTTAAAATCGTGATAATATCATATCGTGGATCCTCGGGGTGATTCCCATCCCTAGTTAAAACTACAATATTTCCCTCTGAAATTTGGCTGAGTGTAAGTATAAAGTAGCATGAAATATGAATGCTAAATACTTGTGTATTAAGTACGTATATATCTTAATACTACTTAAGGAAAGCACTTAAGTAATCATATTTAGTTAACTCCCAACACTGTTTTGATGCCATACTCAGCCTTTCACAGTGATCATATGTAACTAACTGTTGACAGACTTGTTTCCAAAAGAGCTACCTTTGTACTCTTAGTGTAATGTTCACTGGGTGACGAGAGATTTGTTAACAGAGGACGTAAATATACAACTTCAGTGACCAGTCTGAGCATCACACGTAAACAGAGTTTGTTAATATCAGACGCCATAGCGATACCGGTATTAGGTTGAAGCCTAAGAATAGATTCAAATATATCACAACAAATTATTTACAATTATTTAAAGTTAAGCTCAAGAAAAATGTAAAAGACAGAACGGTCATGACGACAGTGACAGCATTCGAGGAGCCAGACTTTGGTGTCACAGCTATTGGAGTCAATGGGGAAGGCACTGCGGATCACACTTGAACCCGTCATATCAGATGAGGAAGAGCTACAACCCTTAATAAACACTAATGGTCAAAGTAGCTGATGTGGGAAATACTGTGCAACACAACCATCAGCTGGCTGGCTTGGCTCCTAGACAGTCTGACGCTGTGTGAAAGTAGCCTCAGCTCACTACACTTCAAGGAAAACTTCACCCCAAAAAATAATAATTTATGTATCAATTTCTTGTGTTGTTGACTTTTGGAAGAAAACATGTTTTTTTCCTGCATGCCTCGAGAGCAGTGGTGACACGGAGGGTATCTACAGGTATACAGGGTGTACCCTGGTGGATTTTACTGCACAAGGTGTGTGAGAGTTTGTAAACGGGTGTTTTGATATAGTTTTGCCGTTGTTAAATGTTGGCTTTACAATTCATCAAGAATTTTCTCAGCTTTTGGATTCTTCGGTAACAACAGAGGCATGCATGAAAAAACGTTAACTTGATTAATTCAACGAAACCTGGGGTGGGTAATTTGGGGGATGATGTGTCCATATCTTTGCCATTAGTCACTGTACCTCTCTTGTGAAAGGGCGAGCCAGGCGTCCCTTCTGGGTAAGGTTTTGGCCGACCCCAGCTGAAGGCCTCCTGCACCCTTTTTCTTCCCTGCAGACGGCTGAACCCGCAGCCGCACAAACATCAGACTCCCAGGACTTCCTGCTGATGACCTCCGAGGCACTGAAAGTTAACAGAGAGCGAGGGTTGACTCATGGTAAAGAAAATTAAAACCAGAAACCATCATTTAGACAGATTCATACCTGCAGTCAGACTCTTCACAGACGACTTCCCTGCTTCATCCATCTGCAGCAGCTCCTTCTTCACTTTACTCGCCGCCTCTTGACCTCCACAGCAGAAGGTGGCAGCGCTGCTCAGGACGGCCACGCCCAGGCCGCCAACAGATGCCTCTGACGGCACCTCCAGTGGGCTGCTATCAAGCTCCCCCTCAGCCTCCGCCATGTCTCTGCTCTCTGCCTCCTCCTCCGCAGAAACCTCTCTGGTCAGGCCCAGAGCCAGACTGGACAAATCTGACGGAGCCACAGACACCAGAGCCGGCACCAACTCCCCCTTTGGGTTTGGGAAGCTGCCTGCTCGGCTTTTGGCACCCCTCAACTTCTGGAAAATTTTCTTTCCTTTTCTCCTTAATAAGAGATGAACAAAAGAATGAGTGCATTGACTTTTCTTGTATTCTGAGTGTGTGTTTAGGAACTGTGAATCGTTGCTGACCTCTGCTGGGACGTGTTGAAGTGAACACGTGAGATGTCAGAGAAGAAGGACACAGATGCCAGATTGTCAACAGAGCACGACAGCAGGTATTCCTCACAGCCGTGTTCCTTCACCAGAGCGTGCGTCTTACACGGGTCAAAGAAGATCTTGTTAGATGTCACCAGCAGAATGCCTGAAACCACACCCTGACAGACAGAGACACACAAGGTTGATGTTATCCTACAGATGTCTCACTGATGACTCTACTGACAGTAGCGCCGATCACACCCACCTTACGGTCTGTGATGTAGCGGCAGAACAGTTTGAGGTACGGCATGGCCTCTGGTCCCTCGCCCTGACAGCACTCCGGTGGCAGAGCCAGTAAGCAGAGCTGTCCATCAGGCATCGGCACCGCCTCCACATCCTGTCAGGATCACATATGGTATCAGCTTTATGATAAATAATAAACTTTATTTATATAGCACCTTTAAAAACACAGTTACAGAAAGCTGTACAATAAAACCAAACACATGTAAACGCCAGGAGAATAAAATACAAAACAAATAATACGTCATAAAATGTCAAGGTTAAAACTAAAATCAAGATAATAAATGGGAAATACTGTAACATCAATAACATAGCAATAAAATAGACAGACAGCTCAGATAAAGTCTGGATATGCTTTCTGATAGAAGTATGTTTTTAGGAGAGAATTAAATGAAGTCAGTGACTCAGACAGCCTTATAAATAAGAGGTGGAATGATTAGTTGACGACAATTTTGGTAATTAATAAACCACTAAAGTCATTTTAAATGCAAATAAATAAATTTTAAAATACTGGTTCTAGTTTTGCCATTTGTAAATATTTGTTGATTTTCTTAATTTTTTTATTGTAAGGATCCAAAAATATTAGAATTTTAGACTATTAGTCAGACAAAATAAGCAATTTGAATAAGTTAATGTTGGAAATTGGGTAGTTTTTTCTGACATTTTAAACAAACGATTCAAATATTATTTAAAAAAATAATTTAAAAAAAGCCAGTAAGCAGAGCTGTTCATTAGGCATTGGCACCACCTCTGCATCTGGTCAGAATCACATATTGTATCAGGATTATGATAAAATAAGACCTGGATTGACTAGTCAATGACAGGTTTAATTTAGAAACCACTTAAGTAATTTTAAATGCAAATAAAAACTAAAAAAAAAAAATCTGGTTTTGGCCTCAGAAATATTAATATATGTTGATTTTCTTTGTTTTTTTATTGTAAGAAACCAAAAATATTTGAGTTTTAGACTGGTAGTCAGATAAAATAAGCATTTTAAATTTTTTTTTTTTTTTTACTTTTTTGTGACATTTTATATATGAAATGATTAAAATGTTAAAAAATAAAAATGACAGATACATCAGCAGTAAAAATACTAGTTTTTTGCATCCCTAAATAAAACTGCAATATACCATTTATATATTAAATTTCAAGTCAAAATATTAAGTTATTTAGCTCATATGTATGTAAGTTTGCATGTCCTCTGCTCATATTCATGTGTTGTTTGTTTTGTTCCTCACTTTCCTGGGTGCAAGGTCTGACGAGTAAGAGGTGTTGTGGGAGGTTGCACTGGATGGGAGGTATAAGGGGAGAGCTGCAGGAGGGACGTGTTGGTAAGGTGGAGAAACAGTGTTGTGGGGTTAGGGGGACCCAGCACGCGGGTGGTTGGGTAAATAAACAATGCCTGATGATAAAAGTTTATTATTTTTCTGTTTGTACACAAAATGAATAAAGAGATTTAACCTGGAGTAAACAAACTGCAACATACCAATCAAGCTGGTAATCCCACTGTAGTCCTCAAAAAACCTCCTTATTTCTATGACATGTGTGTCTCTATAATTTTCTCTGTGATGACAACACTTTTTGTCATTTATAAAGAGCTCCATAATTTCACGCAGAAAAGACGTGACACCAAAGATGAACTCAGCATCATTATATTTTATGCAAATTCAGTCCCTAACATACAATTTTCAAACGTCACAGTTTGATTCTGCTTCTACATAATTTAGGAAACAAAAAGATTTCTGAGTCCGCATTGCAATGTTTTAATGGCTGTGTTATGCATTTAAAATATGCATATTACATCATATTATATGTAAATAAATTATATAATACTCATATATACTGAATATATAATCATACTATTTGACTATATATACAAATTTATATTGGTCTATATACATATTCCTATACAAATCCTTTATATTTATATTTATACTGCACTGTCTACTATCCTGTGCAATTTCTTATTTGTGCAATGATATTTATATATTTCTATTTTTTCCAATACAAGGCTACACACAATGTGTGTGTTAACGGTTATTCTGTGCAATTCTCCGTAATGAACATACAATATCTGTATAAGTGAAAGGTGCATAGAGTGTTTATAGCTTTAATAATATTCTATTTTTACTTTATCTTACATGTATTTTGGTTGTGTTTCTATGTGGTTTCATTTCTATTCATTACTCAATTACTTTCTTCCTTTTTCCTTTGCTTTTAACTATCGAGCTGCTGTGCATGTGAATTTCCCTGATGTGTGATTAATAAAGTTTACGCTGTGTTGCGTTGTGCTGTGTTGCGCTGCATTACCTTACGTTGGTTACCTTACATTTCGTTACCTTATGTTATGTTATGTTACCTTAAGTTACCTTGGGCTACGTTACCTTACATTATGTTACCTTATGTTACCTTGGGCTACATTACCTTAGGTTACCTTACGTTACCTTATGTTACATTACCTTACTTTGCATTACCTTACGTTACCTTACCTTACCTTATGTTACGTTACCTTACCTTTATGTTTCCTTACGTTACGTTATCTTACGTTACATTATGTTACATTATGTAACCTTACCTTACATCACATTACCTTACACCACATTGCTTTACCTTACCTTACCTTACCTTACCTGACCTTAACTCATCTTATCAACGTGTAGGCACCATTTCCTGCCTGTAGTTAGTCTTTGCCAGTTAGACAGTTTAGTTTAACTTGTTCCAGAACTAGGGATCAAGCCCCTCCAAAGAGTTGCAGGGTGATATGAGAGGTTATCAGATAATTTATGGGGTATAATAATTTGTCTTCATTTTTTGGCTTTTCTCTAATCTTAAATCTTGTTGTGAAATCATTGTTTTAATTTGACCTCTTCAAAGAGTTATTTAAATGAAACCATCTGAGAACTTTATAGGGGAAATCACTCCACAAGTGAACTGCTAACAGCTCATAGATATTTTTAATGTGCTCTTCACTTCAGTTACACAGATATATGTTTTTCAAATAATGCAAAACCAGTGCTTTCTAAATTTCATAACATGCAGTAAAGGAAGTTGTCTTTTCTTACCAGTAGTTTGTCATATTCGGCTTCTGGTGAGGGCGGCTGAGGTTGAGCAGCGAGAGTTTCCGAAGAGTCCGGATCAGCCTCGGCCTCTTGCTTCAATTTAGGATCAGAGTCCAGTTCTGGCTGAGACGATTCTCGACCAGTGGGAGTGTTTTTTCCCTTCGGTACGACCAGCTGCTTTAAAATGGAAGCCATGATAAGAATAGCTCTGACATTGAAATAGATACAACCTGCTGTCTGCTGTGACTACTTCCTCTTTCTACAGGCCTGTATTTCCCCTCTTCTCTTTGTTTGTATTCACATCTTTGCTCCACACTTCATGTCACACATGAGGGCTGTGGATGAGGGGCTGGAGGAATGTTTTTACAACTACAATATTTCAATGCATGACATTAAAATGACTGAAGAGTACACATTGAGTATTATCAGTCAGAGTTTTCTCACGAGAACTGATTTCATACTGAGGTTGCCTGAATGGGTTTAGATGGAGCAACACACTTCATGCCTGAAGCTGAATACTTGCAGCTGAAGTCATGAGACACACAGGGGGAAAGTTTTGTTTTACAAATCAAGTGAACAACAGCAGGCAAAAACATGTAAATTCCTTCCTTTCACACATGTAAGAAACACACTTAAAGAGTACGTAGTCAGGTGCATTATGTGTTTACAGTTGATTCTTACCTCTCTGGGGATGAGGGTAGCAGACGAGGAGGGTAAAGTTGAAATGGAGGGGCGGTGTCCCAATTTGCCCTCTTCTGCTGAGGATGTACCGTTACTGCTGAACTGAGAGGAGACGCTGAACACCGTGTCCCCGGGGAGACCCTGAAACACAAACACAATCTGATCACACACCAGATCTCAAGAAGATTTTCCTTGTTAATGCATAAAATAGTTTTGCATTCATCTTGATGCATCCAGCAGCTGATACTGTCACTCTGGGAATATTTAAGGAACCTTGCTTGCTACTTAACAGCTCAATTTAGAGGAGAGGTTTCTGGAGGAAGCTTTAATAACTGAAAAGGGTTCCTGGATGTCTAGAGTGTAGAATTTAGTGGCATCTAGTGGGGAGGTTGCAGATTGCAATCAGTTGAAACTTAACCCTTGTGCCAAGCGTGTAGGAGAGCTGCGGTGGCTGACACATAAACACGAAAATGCAAATGGCCCTGTCTAGAGCCAGTGCTTGGTTTGTCTGTTCTGAGCTACTGTAGAAAAAACAAGGCAGATTCCACTGAAGAGGACCTGCTCTGTTTATGAATGTTATACCATTTCTTTAAGAGGCTAGAGAAAGCCGTCCTTCTGTGACAACAGCTTTTAATCATTGTTTCTCAAAACCATTCAGACATACAGTCAAAGATAAATTAACGCTCATAAATCTTGACAAAATGAAATAATTTGATCCTTATTCCTTATTAAAACTGATGTGAAATTACCTAAAAAATAACCCTTCATTTAAAAAGGATTGTGGGCTATTATTGTGGGGACAAATCTCTAGTCTGCTCGGCTAAGAACCCAGCGCGTGGCTAAGCTATGAGCCACAAAGCTAATGTTATGCTAGCAAGCCTCAATGTCAGTGATGTTGCTTACAGCTGACAAACAGTATAAAGTCTGACTGTATGTTTTAACAACAAGACAGTCTACTTAACCATCTATGTAACTGTCCCCAAATTACTACTACATCATTTCACAAACAAAGGGTTGTATGTGTAGCAGGCCCCAAGGACAGCAGCTCGGCCTTGGCCCCAATTTTTCCTGGTGGCCACTTGTGGTTTTGCAGCGAAAAAATGCCCTGCAGCCCAGTTGACCACCATAGTAAAAGAGACATCTGTTAAACTGTTGAAAGGACATCTCGAACTGCAAACAAGCTCAACTATGACTCTTTCTATGATAACATTTTTGATCGATGGAGGTTTTATATTTGTACAACTTTCCTCAAGCTGAGAACATTGATTTAAATATCTGTGATGCCATCATCACATTGTAAAGTCTATGAGAAGTCGCGAGTGGGGCCAATAGGAGAAACATTTCTGTGCTTATTCAGAGGGCCGTACACTGCAGAAGTAAACCTGGAAGCTACAAACTTTTTCTGCTGTATTTTTGCGTTCAATCGAACTGAACAGGCGCCATCTTGGGGTCCAGTATCTAGTTAGTATTATACATCTATGACGTTCACACCTTAGCCACTTTTAGCTGCAGCCAGAAATAGTCTTATGAGTTGAACTCTGATACGATATAATGTAATCTTTAAGTTGTGCAGGAGCAAATAATATTGAGGAGCTCTGCTAACTGCTACTTGAATATAATCATAGACCCAAAGACCCACTGCCATTTATTGTGCAGATCTCACTGCGTGTTTCCACTGTAAATCAGTTAAAACAGAGTGGATCTGAACCTGTGAATATGATATACAATACAAAATTATAGTTTGCGAGTTGCAGAGTTGAAACAGTGAGAGTGAATCATCAGTTCCACAACTGTCATCCACTGACAGATGGATCCATTGACCTAAATTAGATTACTGGCACCTGACAGATTATGTGACCACAGGAAAACTGTGTGCTTTGGTGTGGGTGTAAGCATGTGGATGTGTCTGGAGCTGTGTGTGTGTGTGTGTGTGTGTGTGTGTGTGTGTGTGTACTTGTCTCTGCATGAACTATGTGTGTGGTGGTTTATGTGTTTGTACATATACTATATATATATATGGATGAACATCTATTTTTTTTAAATCATGCACAAACACAACACAAGCTGCTCAGCAGTTTTAAAAAGAAGGATATATGAAGTCAGTGTGACAGTTATTTAAACTAACATTCGCCTCCTCCTTAACTGCCTGTAGGAAAATTTTTCTTCTATGGAAACACCCCCCGCCACCCTCATGTAAAGCGTGGCTGTGTGATACTCTGTCTATCCTAAACTAGGAAAGGTTTTACTCCCTTTGAGGCCGTTGATCAGTTATATTGATCAGCTTACCCCCTGGTGAAGTGTCACTGAAGTGGTTAGCCTTGTGCCTGTCAACACCGGATGCATGCATCGCTGCCTGAACATAATGTGTATGCAAAATTAGTTTTAATTATTACTGCACAAATAGGAAATCGCACAGGATGGTGTGTGTGTGTGTGTGTGTAACTGTATGCAAACTGTGACTATACTGGCTTTAACACCGCAGGCCTTCAATAGTCTGGTGTTGCAGCCTGGATTTCAGCAACTACTAACTCTTCTTGTTCATTATTATGTTTATTTATATGTATCATTACTCATATTACTTTTATTAATATTCTTTCTGTGATTATTTAATTTAATTTCATGTCATTTACCAATTCTTACAGTGCATTTCTACTCTTCCATTATCCTTCTGGCTACTCTCTGCTCATTAACCCTTTGAACCCTGAGCAAATTAGCTCGATTTTTTTTTTAAAACATGGGAAGAAGGCAATTAGCAACAAAAGAAGAAACAACCCCCAAAAAATTGTGAGAAATTAGTAAAAAGAGAAAATTGAAAAACAAGATAAATAGTTAAAAAAAAAAGAAAAAGGAGAGAAATAAAGTTAAAAACAAGGAAATGAGCTGGAAAGAGTGTTTAAAAATATAATAATTCTGTAACATATCATAAAAATGTAATAATAATAATAGTAGTAGAGTTTTTCCTTTTCTTTTTTACCTATTTTTTTTTTTAAAAAATCTTTTATTAATTTTTTTTTTTTTTTGCAATTTGTGGGACATTTCTTATTTAATTTAATTTTAATTAATATATTAATTCTAATTTTATAATTTCTTACTAAGTTGTCCATTGCCTTTTTACCCATATTTCTGGAAGAAATCAAACCAATTTACTCAGGGTTCAGAGCTTTAAATACTTGTAAAAGACATCTGAAAGCAGCACAAGAAAAGTGCATTCGCTCCAGGTTTCAAAAGGTTAAAGGGATCTGTGGAATGGTATTGAGGAAAATAAGAACGAGCTGTAAACTCTTAGTAAAAAAATGAAAATACCAACTGTGTTCTGTGTTCTATGTATCAATAATGCTTGTTACAATAAAGGATGTGCTGCTAAAATCTCTACTTTCAATCTCAACATCCAGTCATCACAAAAGACTTTAAGTTGAATCAACACCTCTGTGAAACAGTTTCAATGGACCTGAGTATTATAGCTGTTGCATTAGAGTGCATTAGCTTGAGCTCAGTGTACCTAATAAACTGGCAGGTGAATATACTGTATGTGCTTCCTCTTCTGCTCAAAAATGTGAAATATATGTTACAATAAACATCCATAAATCTTAAAATAGAAGACTTCAGGAAGACGAGGAGGTCAACACAATCACCAGAGCGCTCAGTAATAAGCAGTAACGCCCTTTCCAGATTCAAGATAATAGAAAAATCAACACTTTCTTTCATATTTAACAACTCAGCAGCAAAATTTAAAAACCCAGCTGATAAATACCTTTGAATAAACGTCTGCATATACATTCCTCCGGCTGTATTTGTTGTAGAGGCTCTGAAAAAGACTCTGTTTTCCCATGGCGCTCTTGAACGGCTCTGACACTCACCTCTGAACCTTGAACGCTCTTTATCAACTCTATCATGACCATAAATTCTGAAACCAGCCACAAAATGCTTGCTCTAGCATACCTCATCAGATGATACACACAGCAATAAATCCATTATCTGTCCGTCGCCTCCCAGCTTCCTAAATTTTCTTTAACTTGTTCCCAAGTTGTTTCAAAACAAAAACATGTGACTCACCCTGCTGCTTGTGCTGTCATCTGACGAGCCACTCATATGCTCCTGCTTCACCGCAGTATTGTTCAGATCCCATGAAGTCCCTGTGAGAGAAAAAGAGTCATGAGAAAACATCCTGAGCACAGCACAGCGCCTCTTCCTAACAGGATTAATGCACCATGGCTCATGTGCCTGCTGCTCCTGCCCGTATGAAAACAACTTTATGCAAAGACTGCCGACAGGCTCAGTGTGAGAATTACAAAATGTAAATTCAAGCTCGAGTTCATCCCACAATTTGCCTCTACTTAATGCATCCAGGGGACATCGAACACTGCAGGCGCACCTTGCAGGTAGTACTGCCGCAGTTTGGGGTTTCTGATGTGGGGGGTGTGGTTGAGAGGCCGGCCCACGGCGGATTGTTGCAGACGCTGGCTGCTGGCTGTGGGCTCCTGCATCACTCGGGTCTGAGGTTGCGTCTCCCAGGGCCGCTTAGCGAACTGTGGAGGCTGAGAGACGCCAGGAGGAAGCTTGGAACCCAGCCTGAGAGAGAAGCAGAAGAAACAGATGAAATTACGCTATATTTAAAGGGACAATTCAACCCAAAAAAAAAAAAAAATCATATTTCCCCCCTACCTGTAGAGCTATTCATAAAACTAGATTGTGTTAGTGTGAGTTGCTGTGTGTTGGAGATATCGGCTGTAGAGATGTCTGCCTTCTGTTTAATATAATGGAGCTAGATGGCACTTGGCTTTTGGTGCCAACAGCATTGTTTCTCTCCAGAAATCATGACCCGGTTACTCAAGATAATCCACAGACCTTGTTGTGAGCAGTTTCATTCAATCATTCATTCATTTTCATAACCCCTTGGGCTGCAGCCTATCCCAGCTGACACTGGGTGAGACTATCACAGGGCTGACACATAGAGACAGACAACCATCCACACTCACATTCACATCTACAGTCAATTCAGAGTCACCAATTAACCTGTATGTCTTTGGACTGTGGGAGGAAGCCGGAGTACCTAGAGAAACCCACGGTGACACGGGGAGAACATACAAACCCTGGAATTCGAACGCCCCCCACCCTGTGAGGTGACAATGCTAACCACTATACCACCATTTTACTGAACTACACCTGCCACCTCTATCACCAGGCAGAAGGAAATGTGCATCTACTCATGGACTAGAGGCTTGTGACGAGATGTAAACATTAATGGCGTCCTCCCCGGCTGAGCTGTAACGTTAGCTAGCTCAGCAGTGCTGGGTGAGGTAGCAGTAGATGCACGCTTCCTTCTGTGCGGTGGTAGAGATGTAGTTTGGTAGAAAGAAAATAGTTCCTACATGAAACTGCTGTGGATTATCTTGAGTAACCAGGTCCTGATTTCTGGAAAGAGACATTGCTGTTGAGTTTTTTTTAATGCATTTTTTGGCACTTTGAGCACCACAAGCAGAGTGCCATTTAGTTCCATTATATTCAAGAGAAGGCAGACATCTCTACGCCCAATATCTCTAACAATCGGCAACTCACACTAGAACGATCTAGACTGATTGACAGCACTACAGGTAAGAGGAAAAATACGTACGTTTGACTTTTTAGGATGAACTGTCCCTTTAAGGTAAAAGTTCACCCTCAAACAGAAATTATATTTGGGTTACAACTACTGATTAGTTCCTTTATGAATTAGTCGTAGTTATTGATCATCAACCAATCAAAGGTTTGGTCTACAAAAGGTAATTTAATAATAAAAGTGCCCAGAACCCAAAGTGATGTCTTTAATAGTATATATAGAAAAGTAGTCCGTCTGGACAATTAAAAAATTTGAAACATCAAATATTTGGCACTTTTTTGATTAAATTACTGTAACTTATAACTGATTATCAAAGTAGTTGCATTTGAATTTATTGTCAGCTGACTAACCATTGAAGCAGTCATTTAGATTCTGTTGTTATGCTATAATGATGCCTCAGAAAATGAAGACCCACTGCACTGATATACATAGGTACATTTTATCAGATATCTAATCATATATCTTTTCAAACCCCCCAAATATAACAAACTGTCTTTACATGACTGCCTACATGCTATTAAAATTTAGATGGTTGCTAATTTTCTTCAGCTCAGCGCTGATGAAACAGAGGTTCTTATTTGCGCCTTGTTTCCTTCTCCTCATCTGGAGAAATGTGGGTGTCACATCTGAGCAGGCGCGATCTGTTGAACAGCATGCGAAGTGTTTGTTCCCGCTGAGCTGTGAATAACATTTTTAAACTCACTGCATCTTACTGCGTGTTAGCAAGACATCCCTGGATGTACTTATTTTATAACATCCCTATATTATGTTACTGTACCACTCTGTGTGCCTTTGCATATTGACCCCAAAGACGTTTACAAGAGGTCCAATACGCAGCTGCAAAGCTCTTAACTGCTGATCTTCACAAAGGTCTCATGTGACTCCAATCTTGATTTCTTTACACTGGTGATAAACAAATAACTTGCAACCTGCCCAAAATCAGATCACTCTGTGCACAGCTAAGGTGTGTTTTATTACCACTGTATATTGAAACTGAAAGATGTAGCTGAGGATGAAAGAATGTGTGAATATTGTGAGCTGAATGAGGTGAAAAATGAAATCCAGTCTATACTGTCCATCATATCATGCTTTATGACAACTATTGTTTAAAATAGTCAAATTCCTCATTTAGATTTGATCGTTACAGAGGATTGAGCGTTAACTGAAAACCTTTTGATAATGTTTGTGCATCCTCTTAGTTTCTTTTTAGGAGGAGGAAAGTAACATGTGATGGATCCCTCTGACTCTGTTTTGTTTGCACTGCGGACTGTCGGTCTGTGAACAGGATCGAACAGCGTTTGGCACTGATTCAGGAAGGTGTACATTTTGTCCTGTTTGGATTTATGTGTTGTATCTTGTGCCCCGAGGCTGTGCTTGTGCTTTGTTTTTCTTTTTTTTGATTTGGATATCTCTCTGTGCATTGTGTGTGGGAGGTTTATGTCTTTTGTGTCCAGATGATATTTATGTATTGTGTTGTTGGATGATGGTGAGTTTGTTTGGTTTGTTATCGGTTAATGTGGCTGAATAATCTCATGAGGGTCAATGATCATTCAATGACCTAATTAATTAATTCTTGTTTGAGAACACATTCAATTTCACTGTAGCGCGAAGCCTTAAATTTCCAAATGTCTTCTTAAATCACTGCAAGATTTAAAATGACTCACATGGCAGTAGTATCGTAGGATTTATGCCTTTATTCACTGTCTATAAAACAGCTACTAGATGTTTTTATTGATGACATGGTCCCCACAGTCTCTGCTACAGCTTCAAACTCACCAGTGGATACTTGTTTTCTCAAGTCATCAATCACTTGTTGGTCTATAAAATAAAATGGTCGCAAAATATCAGAGGTGAGACCAAGTCATTGTTTTGCAAGTCACAAGTAAGTCTCAAGTCACTGCTGAAATGTCCCAAGTCAAGTCACAAATCCTTAACATTGAGTTTCGAGTCCTTGACAAGTCACATTGCACCAAATGTGTTGCATTTCAACAACAAATTAATATATAAAATTTACAAAAATCACAAAGGCATTTTAAAATGTTTACTTATTTTTTAAAAACTGAATGTGTAGGAAGTTATTGTGTCTCCCTCTGTTATTTTCAATACGCATGTTTTGCATACAGCTGTCCCTCAGAGGTAGAGCGGTTGATCGGAAGATTGGCGGTTCGATCCCCGGCCCTTCCAGTCCACACATGGAAATTAGCCTTTAGCTAAATCTGGTGCAAACATCTTTTTGTTTTGTAAACAACTAATGTATGTGCACGCTGTCCTTTTTATAAACTAAATAAACTAAACTAAACATGTCAGAGTATACTTGGGCAAGATGCTGAACCCCAAATTGCTTTCATTGGCTGTTCCAGGTGTGTGAATGAATGTGGATGCTCAGAGTAGCAGGTGGCACCATGTATGGTAGCTTCGGCCACCAGTGTGTGAATGTGTGTGTGAATGGGTGAATGTGACGTAGTGTAAAACTGCTTTGAGTGGTCGGACAACAAGTGCAGCCCATTTACCATGCTGCAACTCGTTTCTTGTTGTCCACTTCATAGTATTCGTGCAAGAATGAAATTAATTTTGGTGTAATTTTGTGTCGGTGACATAATGTTAGTTCTTCATGGCTCTCTCCTGCAGTCTGATTAGTTCAAATAAAGTAGATCTGGGGAATTAAGTGTCGACTTGCTGTGAATGACTAGTGTTCACATTAGTTGGTTCAGAAAATGAAGTGATTCACAGGACAGTTTTTAAATAGTTTACTTTTAAATCTTTGGGCTTGGCGGAAGGTGTCAAGTCTTTTCAAATCAAAAGGCTCAGGCCCAGTGAAGTCACAAGTCATTGGTGTTAAAGCTCAAGTGGAGTTGCAAGTCCTTTTTGTTTTTGTCGAGTTGAGTCTGAAGTCATCAAATTTATGACTCTAGTCTGACTCGAGTCAAAGCCATGTGACTTGCATCCACACCTCTGCAAATTAGTGATGAAATGGCCTTCGACATATCATAGCAACCCAAGGTGGCATCTTTAAACTGCTTGTCTTGTCTTACAAATAGCGACAAACTCAAGTATATTCAGGTTACTATCACATAAGACAAAGAGTTTGCATGTTCTCCCTGTGTCAGCGTGGGTTTTCTCAATGTACTCCGGCTTCCTCCCACAGTCCAAAGACATGCAGGTTAATTGGTGACTCTAAATTGTCTGTAGGTGTGAATGTGAGTGTGAATGGTTGTCTGTCTCTATGTGTCAGCCCTGTGATAGTCTGGTGACCTGTCCAGGGTGTACCATGCCTCTCAGCTAATGTCAGCTGGGGTAGGCTCCAGCACACCTGCGACCCCCAACAGGATAAGCGGTAACGGAAGATGAATGAATGAAACAGAGTAAAGGAGCAAAAGTCAGCAGAATAATCTCAGCTTAAAGGTCCGCTTACCAGTGTTTATAGCTTTCAACCACATCTCAAGATCTTCATTCAGACTCAGTTCATTAGGCTGAGATTACTTCTGTACATACAACTCTTTAAGGTCAAGAGTGAATGTACACGCTAATATGTGTTAGGGTGTCTAGCATTGATTCATGGTTTAGCATATCTCAAGTGTGAATAACTGTATGGAGCAGCGTCACAGTCCGATCAGAGTTATTTATAGGGGGAGTGGGAGTTGTCTGCGTGATGGATAGTTCCTCTTGTAGCTCTCACCCACATGATGCTCTGTGATGGAGCATGGAGTCCTTCTGTGACAGCGGATGAAACCAGCTGATGAAAATACGCATTTTGTGCTAAAAAAAAAAAAAAAACCTATTTGTGTTGTAGCCATGCATGACACATGCTTAGCGTTAATCTGGACATGTCACCCTTCTTATGAGAATAATGAAAGACCGAATTGTGGCGTGCTTAAATCTGAAAGGCAAATGCCAGCTAAACTCGTCACATGTCTGCCCAGAGCTTTCCCCTTTTGTTTTCTCTCCAGTAATCCATGTATTTACAGGCCTGACCTGGTCTTGACGTTGCCAAAGTAGCTGGTCCTGGTCTTGTCCCTCTGGGGCTCGTGGTCCATGGCTCCTAGAGTCTCCGGCCTCCTCACGGACTGAGCCATTTTCTGTCTTTTTCTTTAGTCTAACGCTGGTGGCAGGGGCAGTTGCAGAGGGATCAGGGGCTCAGCTGGCATCCTTCCTCCTCCTTTTATTCCCCATGCCTACCTTTTGCCACAGTTACACCTACACAAAACAGGAAGTCATAAGATGTGGGCTGATTTTAGGGATGGTAAATCTGTAGCCACATGACCCCATAAGGAAGTGAGCGAGACATGTAGCAGAGTAATGTAGCCAGGTTGTCAGGCAATCAATATAATTAGTGTGTGTGCTTGCAATTAACGTGCCTGAGCTTGTAGTCTAAGGTTGCTGACCAGGTTCAGCTCTCAGTGGCTTAATATTGCCATAATAATGTGAATTAAAACATTATTACACATCAATATGATGCTTCTTAAATGGATCAGAGAGCTCCTGGCAGTGCACAGCTTTATTTAGACATGACCTAATACTATGATCATATCAGGGCTCAGGAATGCATCTGGCTACATCCTGGAAAACCCTAATTTCAGCAACTCATACGGCATTACAGCCTCACACACCCCTCCTGGGTGGTGATTTGCCTGTCATCTCTGAATTAACAGCACCAGCAGGGTTAGCCTAACGTTGTCCTGCACCCTTTAAAGTGCAGTCCCTCCTCATATGCCATTATGATTGAAAGAATGATCACAATTTGCTTCCTGTAAATGCTAGGGGATGCAACAATCACCATGGAGGAAGTAAGCATTTTAGGCGACATTACAGAATGATCGAGACTGCTGCTATTGCAGAAAGAAAATGACATCGGCAGCTCCGCAGAGATGAAGCGCTCACGGGAGCATCAGGTAAACTAAGCTGGATCTTTACTGACCTGTGTCTCGCCCAGGGATGGAGACGGGTGGCGGTCATATGAGCGCGTCCTCATATTGCAGTGTTATGATATCACTGCAGACAACACTTACAAGTTCAATATTCAAGCTCCGCCCACCGCTTAAAGGGCCGCGCGCCGCAAGTCAAGATAGTCCCCCACCCCCCACCCACCACACACACACACACACACACACACACACACACACACACACACACACACACACACCGGCCGGCCGGCTGACGGCAGCGAAACCGGAAGTAGATGGGAGGGAACCATTTCGTGTTGTCAGACATCTTGTCTCATGAAGAACTGATATACTCCAGTGCACCCTTTCTCTTTTATTCATTTATTCTCCAGTTATTTATTATATACTGCATACTTACGTCATTCATACACCTTTATGTTTATGGTTAAATGTTTTTTACAGTTAAAGAATAAAAAAAGGTGCTTCTTCTGCATGCAGAGCACCAAAAAAAAAAGACAGGAAATTTAAGGCTTGCTAAGCACAGAGAAATAATTACCGCAAAACTTCAATTAATAGCCCAGGCTATTATTGGTTACATTACTGAAATCAACAGGCCTGCGTTTGGGACAGGCCTTTAGTTCTTTTCACACGAAACAGTTGCTCAGGAAAGACGAGAAATACAATCAAATTGCTTATTTAAACCAGTATGAACATTACTTGTTTAAAAATTAGGCTTCAGATGATATATCAATTATAAATCATTCATTTGATGTAGCTCCAACAGAAAAATGCATCAGAGTGAGAGTGAGGTACGGCTCCTGGCATACCGACACAACACCACTTTATCCTGTTATAAGTGTACTCACAACTTGCATTAATTTTTATGAAAACTCTTTTGATTCTTTTGATCTGAGGACCCTTACAGACTAAGGGTATATGAAGGATATAACAAAAAATAAATAAATGAACTGCTTGGTAACCAGACCAGGCCTCTTATTGAGACAGGCCTTTATTTGTCAAAATGTGTAGCCACACTGGGCTAGTAAAAGGGACTGGGCTTTTAACTGGGACTAGGCTTTTAACTGAAGTTTTACGGTATTTTTTCAGGAGAATTTCATTAGGGTTAGGGAATCCCCAGAGGCCCCACAATATGCAATATTATCATACTTATGTCATAATACAATCTTGTCATTTGAACATCTTGTGATATGCTGAGTATTGCAATAACATATATTGCCATAATGTTTTTCAATGGCAAATCATATGTCCTAAAGGAAAACTATCAGTCTTTTCATCTCACTTCAATCATTTTTATTGCAGCAAAATGTATGTTGGATTGAAATTAATTGTATTACTCTACTAGGCTACCAAAAGTTTAATTTGTATTTGCAATATAAATCATTTATATAATAGAAATATAGATACTTGGCATCCATCTATAGGTAAAATATTGTCACGGAAAATTTTGCAATGCTGCAAGCTATCGAGTTTTCCCCCAACCCTAGGCCTACATGTTGCTGAAGGGTCAAATGAATATTTATTTTACTTTGATTAAAAGTTAACGGGGAAACTTAGTAGCAGAAATATCTTTTCCTGCACGTCAGATTTATCTCTAAGCTTAAATGCTTTGAATTATCACAATGTAAGGCAGAGGTACTATTGTATTTCTAAACCAACTGCAAGTAGAATGATTTTATTTAATGTTTGTCATGTTTCTTTTCTTCATTAGTACCCAAGGGCAATTTTTTTGTACTGATGGGACATCACAGCCATACAGATTTAGAGGACATTAAAACATTAAAGGTCCAGTGTGTAGGATTTAATGATGTCTTTAAATCTTTGTTTAGTATTAGCCTCCATAACAGAGAGAAGTAGCCCGTCTGCACACTTGAGAAACAGGGAAAAAAAAAAAAAAATGTAGAAACAACATGGTGGACTCTGAGGAAGAGGATGTGTCATTCTTATTTTTTCGGTGACAATAAACTAATAAAAACATAACTTTTGCTAGTTAGCTCTAAATCCTACACACTGGACCTTTAATCATCATAGTGTCAAAAATAGTGTCCTAACATAATAAGTAAGAAGGTTATGACAAAGTGCACACACACACACACACACACACACACACACACACACACACTGACTAACTGGTAACAGTCATATGTCTTATCAGTTTTTTGTTGGTACATTTAGCTATGGATTTATTGTTTGTAATAACTGATAAGCTCGGAAAAGTTAGGTTCCATGCTTGTAAAATTGAATTTGTGGATATAAATTTGGTCAAAATGACAAAAAATAATTCCTGCTGTATTGAGTGAATCCAAATCATACATTTTTCCAAAGGGAAGTCAATCATTTGTTGGGTATTCTTGATGTAGTATCCTGTATTCACCAGTATTCACTTCCGCCTCTGGGGGGCGCTCCTGTACAGGTTCTGATAGAGGAAGCTCGTGAGGCTTCCAGCCAATCAAATCACCGGAAAGGGAGGAACAGGTTTCCGGCCTAATGAGAGAAAACACAACTTAAGTCCAAAAGACGAAGAGGAGAAGCTGCTTCTCGTAAATAATTTAACGGCTCAGCTTTCTCCAACACGTCCATAATTTACCGTAAGTTGAAGTCTTGCAGCGTTGATTGCATTTTGTGAAGGGAAGCGAGACACAGCTAATACTAGGGGGGTTAGTGTACCGGTGAGGGTCAACCGGGGGGCCGTTGTTAGAGCTGCTAAAGCTAACTGACGGTCACTGTGTGTTTGATACCCTTAGCTACCGACTGGTGATGAACTGAGAGCGATTAGCAAATCACTCCACCAGATCTTTCTTTCTGTCGTTCATTGTATCCCATAACCGGGAACGTTAGTCAAAGAAGCCTGTAGCGGCACCGTTAGCATAGTCAACGAAAGTTAGCTGTTTTAAATTCAAGACGTTAGTTAGCTAGCCATGGTAGCACTGACTATTGTTACCCTGCTTCTCCATATGTTGTTAAAGTCACGGTGATAAAGTAGCACCAACATTAGCTAGCTACAGCCTTTCATTATCAATTAACTAGTTATTAATTTGTTGTAATTGTTATACTTTTTAATGTGAAAATTATGAGTGCAAGGTTTGCACATGTACTGCAATATGTGATCTGTATTTATTATTATTTTATTTTTGTTTGTTGTGTAGTCTACTCATTTCTTCTCCAGGCCTCTCTCTTGGAAAAACAAGATCCAGATGTCACTGACATTAGCTTTTAGATCATTTTTTATTGAGGATAGGTGCAAAGGACAAACATTAGCATTAAACACCATATATTTTACCCCTTTTTCATCCCTCTTACACATCTAATAACCCCCCCCCCAATTCTTGATGTCTTCCCCCAAAACAAACAGTGACATTGCCTAATAAATAAAGGCTATATTATATGTTTTGCAGCACCAAAAGCTCAAATATTTGTAGTTTGTAACGATGCAAATTTAGTGAAAACTAATTACCAGATCAGAAGCTGTATCCTCCTCATGCATTTTATGTGAGCAATAACTATAAAACAGTTACTTGCCTAGTTCATCAGTCATCTAAATTCTAATTAGGTTTGTGCCACTTGGTTTTAATTTCTAAACCATTTCTGTTATGTTGGTGAGTGAAATAATGCAGTGTTCTCCCCCTGTTTGTGTCCCTCAACAGATGCTCTAACTAACCACTAATTTATATCCAAGAGTTGGCAGTGACATGGCATCTGTCCACTAAACTGCTCCGTCCTCAGCCACTGCTAGCACCAAGCATTGGTGTGCAATTTCCCAGCGGATGAGACTGACCCACCATCACCATGGAAACAGACACAGTAAGTTTGCTTCCTTTGCTGTTAATAACACTGTTTTACTTAACACTGCCTTTCTCCCACATTACTGTGCAGGAATGCAAATCATTGACTAAGCGTTGACATTAAAGTCTTGTGCTTTGTGTAGAGACTGTGTTTTTTAATATATGCTTTACAGGAAGTTATTCCTATCTGGCAGAATAAGCCTCATGGATCCACCCGTAGTGTTGTGAGAAGAATAGGTTCCACTCTTCCACTCAGACCTCCACAAAGGGCATGTTTTCAGGTAAATATCAGATCCTATAAGTCCTGCATGTCATCTTTTCCCATTATATTCTCCTGTTTCTGCAGTAGAAATACTTGTGTACACAACATAAACTTGTCCTTGTGTGCTAGGAACTCCCGGGCCTGCCCTCTCTTCGGCCCATGGATGGCCCTATGGTTCCTACCTTGGCAGACATAGCATGGATTGTTGCAGATGAAGAAGAGACATATGCCAGAGTGCGGTAAATATCCAGTCAAGCCCCAAGACACAACCACCACCACAGGTTATGGAGTAGTGCCAAGTCCCTCATCTGTAACTGCATTATCCTGGACTCTCTGAGCTTCTATCTTAATAGGTGCACATGTGCAGCCTAAAGAAATGCAGTACAGTGATATAATGGACTGCTTTTGGTAATGCTGCGTCAGAGAGGTGTTGATTCAGCTCTGTGCTTATTTTTGCAGCCGTAGGCAGTGATGAAAACAGAACATTGTAATTTTAACAAAAATAGGACATATTGTAGTGCTGTTGCATTGGGCTGTATCTGTAATAAACTGCTGGTGAAGTATTAATCAGTATTAGGCATTTTCTTAAGCAGAAGTAAAGGGAAGGGGAGACTTCAGATGACATGCCGCGTACTTCAAAAGCTGGACTTTGATATGATAAAGATTACTTTGCAGTAACACTGATTGCCCAATCATTTCTTTTAAGGAGTGACACCCGTCCTCTGAAACACGAGTGGAGGCCCACGCCTCTCCTGGTGCTCCACAGGAACTCATCTGTACCCAACTTCCGCCGTGAGGGCAAAAGGGTGGAGGGGCTTAGGAAGCCTGGAGTGACGGCACTGAACCGCACTACTGCCCTGCAGGACGAGCTCAGCAGACTCCGCGCACAAATCGCCAAGATTGTTGCAAGTGATACTGGTGGGTAACCAAAGCAAAATCTAAAGTGCACATAATACAATAATAATAACCTTGATTTATAGAGCATTTTCCATTTAAGGGATGCAGCTCAAAGGGCTTTACAACAGAGATGCAACACAAAATCAAAAGGAC